GAACCTCTATTGAGCCTTTTTAAGCCACTATTACTAATATTTAGTAGCAAAATATCAAATAATATAAAACCATACTTACGATGAATTGATATCATTATATTCCAGCACCACGAAAATGAACTCGAATAATTCACCGATGTTCTCGGCTTTTATTTGTAATTCACATTGAAAAATTTTCCTCACTATAATGTACAAATAACTGCATAGATCACAATATTCTTCCCGAACGCTCTTTTCAACTCGTAGGTTTACAGAGCATAAATCGATTAACATATTAACCAAACGCTCATCTGCAATTAAAAACTATGAGAAGGGTCGATACGAGACAAACAATAAAGATCCAAAACTGTTTCATACATCTTATACATCATACAATCAATACTTGTAAAGATAATAAACACTTATTTTTTGATCACTTGCATTCTTTTTTTCTGATTTCTTCTTCTTTCATGTTCTTATCCTCTCTTATTTTAATTAAATAATACCTCACCGAGGGAATATGAATACTGAGATACCGAACCCTCCCCCGTAAAAGCTTTGATGGGCTGAGAAAGACACACATCCCACAAATCAAAAATTGCGGCTGAATTGAACAAATCTTATTTACTCAACTTGTAAGAGCTCCATCCCTTCAACAAAACTATTCTATTTGTATGGTTATTCATCATCATGTGTGTTTCACTTGTTTTTTTTTTTTTTTGCTTATTGTTGGACTGCATATGAAAGAGATTTCCTTCTATTTCTAGGGTGCAGGAATCACGTCGGTAAGCTAAATATGATTTAGTGCAAGTCGTAACAGATATAAACGAAAAAGTAACCATCAGTGATAACAAAAGAGAAATCTCAATGTTGAACTTACCTTATACCTGCAGCAATATTGTTTTGTGTCACCTTACATGGTTCATTTTTCAGATCAAAGAAAGCAAGGAATAACACTACTTTTTATTGGAAATTATTTTCATTCGAAAATTTTTACCTGGCCTTACGCGTGACGAGCATATCTCCGCAAGTTGTTTTGTCCACTTCAGGCAATGATAAAAATCAATTTTACTGAAAGTTTCGCATTCATCGATACTGAAAGACGCTTCAGTTAATTGAATTCCAATAGGCCCTTTGATTCATTCAATATATATTTCGCTTTTTTGGCAACAGTTTTAATGCTCTATCCATGGTATTTTCCTATATTATAGCTAGATACATCGTTTGCATAGAACGTTATGGATCACCACTATGTTCCAAACCAAATCTTATTAAACTTCAAGTCTAAGAAGTTTAAATACTATTGAAAAGTTTAAAACTAAGCAGCAATGGATAAATTAAATGGCGTATTTTTTTTGAAAGAAATTAAAGCTTTTTAAAGTTTTTCATATTCCCCAAAGTTCAATAAATTTTAAGCTTACTTCCGAATAGCATCACCAAAAGTACGTTCACAAGTCCCCAACGCTTCTTTCAGACGTAATTCTTCATCACCAATCACTTCAGCTGTTAAATCACAAAGCCATCGTTCTACTGCCATTAAATCATCAAATAATAAATCCGCAAACACTGCATTACACGCATCCATTGAAAGTAATCGCTGTGTAAGCAATATTGCTTTCTGTAAAGAGTACAAGAAGTAAAAATGTTACTAGCTAATAAAAGTAAATTTGTAAGTGGTGAGAAAAACGAATTGGTAAATTATCTACTTATATAGTGACTACATATATAATTACTTGAAATAGTGAGAAATATTACAGTACAGTTGAATTAAAAACAACGCATGTTAATACTTCTCTGCTATATTTTCCGGAATACTACGCAAAATGTTCAGATTTCTGCATCAATAAACTGAGCGAATGATAAAAGAACACTAATATAAATGTACAGCTTGTTTCAGTCAAAAAAAAAAAAAAATTTGGCTTAGATCTGTTCTACTCGAAGATGTAATCGAAATATGAATTCTTGCAATGTCATTGTCTCTGTCAAAACGTAATAACGTACGTTCTTCACTCGTGATACACCTGTGAGGATAACGTGTAACAAAGAAAACCATAGATATATTAAAACATCTTCGTTCTGTATAACCGATTCGTTCATCGTTCCATATTGTAAAACTGATCTGAAAAACTTTCGTACGTATAATTTAATTACGATAGTGAATTGAAGATTATTATTAACATGAAGAAAAGCAGTATAGCAAATTGAAGTGTTTTCCAGTATTAATAAACATGAAATAGATTACAATGAATTGAAATGCCACTAAAATGAATAATTACTAGAAAATCATAGCATTAAAATAATAAGTGGATACTAAAATATTCAACAAATTAAATTCATTGAAGCTCACTAATGCGAATAATATCGCTAAATTCATTTTGTTCTTCCACATCTAAAAATTTTTCCGACAAAACTTGTGAAAAACTTAACAGTAAGAAGTCTTGAATAATTGAATCACTTCCCGACAAATAATTGACTGCAAACATTACTGGTCCCAGAATGATATCACCCATTGGGGTGGCGAATATTATTTGTTCGTTGTCACCGTTAATATTAAATAGCAAAAGGTTTTTTTTATCCACCATATCTGAAGTTTTATCACATGTAACAACAAATATCTGCAATACAAAAACACCAATGTTGGTTGAAAAAAAAAGATCTAAATATCAAAATGGAACATAAAAAATAAGTCAGAAATGTTTGGACATGATTAGACGCAACACATTCTTTACAATTTCTTTGAGTAAAGGAAAACGATATTCGATGTAATTGGAAGATTTACACTTCTAAATTAACAATGTGGTATTCTGATGACAAAAAACAGCATTAGAAAAAAGCAATTTTTCTGAAGTAGGAAATTCTAGTGGAAAAAAGTTCTTCTCAAGAAGAAAAATCTCTTACCCTTCAAAATCAAAACAATTTGTTTCTGCACAAAAAGCACATTAGGTGGTTGCAAAAGTTTAGTGAGCTCAATAATACAATCTTGATATAGACCACCAAATTTTCCGTAAACGATCGGTGATGAGAGGACTGAGATAAATTTTCCTATCGTCCACACTATTTGCTCTAAAACTCTAAGTTTAGAAAAAAATATTTCTGAAGAAACATAAAAATACAAAAAAGAAAATGTGTTTGCATTTCAAAACTGATAGAATTTTGCTGTAAATATCATACAGATCGATTACGCTGACACTATGGCCGAGTTAGATATTTATAAGTTAGTAGTGTAAATCCACCTAGTAAGATTGCAAAATGGCTCTTTCTTTCCAAAATACAAGAAAGTTATGACCCAAATTTGATAAATTAACAGACCATCTGATATTACGTTTGGAGCTTGTGAGTTACGGTCAGCAGTACAGTATACTTCTAATAAATCAGGGAAATGCGTCAAATGTTCCACATTATCACCATTTAATATACTCTGACGTAACTTCTCACTAAATTCTTCCGCAACCACCTTGTAAAGCATGTACACATCGTTTAAAGATCTGAAAGTAATAACATTCCTCGTAGAAAAACTTTCTCATCAGGTATAATTGGTGAAACGAATACTGAGGCAAGGCATTAACTAAAGAAATGATAGACTGGCCTATAAGTCTTATGGAGTTACATTGAATGTACTTCCATAACTACATGCATTTACTTAGGTTCACTTTTATGGCTATGATGGCTTATGAAGGTTTATTTTCGTAACTGTATAAATCACACCAACGCTCATAAATACTTCAATGCAGACAAAAGGATAAAATAAAATATAAAGATGAACACGATTGCCAATTATGCGAAACGACAAAAATATCAGTGTTATCGTGGCAGTCATACGACAAATAAGTTGCTATACATGAAATGATGCACTTTTTGCGTTTATCTCACATTAATTCCCTAGATTTTATCTTCTCGAACTATTTCAAAAACTCGAACTTTTTAAGTGTTTTTATTACTTAATATGCTATAAAATAAAACATACAAATACATGGAAGAATTCTCTCCATTAGCAAATGGCCTACGTTTTTCCAAATTTTCCAGCAATATATCAATATATTCAAATCCTTCCTTCTCCGGTGGCTGTTGTTTTGATTGCCCATTTAACTTCATTGAGATCCTAAAATTTTTTCATTTCTTTGTGACAGATTTTTAATGAAGTATTTAAACGAAAGTTTTCGCAAGTCCGGAATTGGTCAGTAAGTTTTTAAATCTTTGAAAAGACACAAATTTTTTACTATCGCTACAAATTATCCAAATATGCATATCCAAACATGACTCATTTCACACGGTAGTTTGGCGATCATCGAGGAAAACATTCCTCGATATTTTAACCTAAAAGTAGGATCTAATTCATTTGCCCTTTGCCCTTTCAAATCTGCGAAAAATGAACATCTTCATTGCTAGTTGCAACCAAAGATCAAATTCCACGATATCCCAGAAAGAGAAACGACACGAGCAAACACATCCCGCCTGTACCCAACCATTTCAAATTTCAAATTGGCCGATTTCTGTATCGCAACACGAGCATTGGCCTAATAGGAAGTATTTGAAATGAGAAGAGATTTGAAAATGGAAAAATATTTGAAATATTTGGGATTAATACGTGTAATTAATTACGAGGCGTATGTATATTTGAAGCGTTGATAACATGTCATTGATAAGAACGTGATGTTACAAGAACTGATAGCTCTTATCAGTCTCCCTGAAGTGTTGCTTTCTTTCATTCATCCTTACCCTTAACGTGTATTTTGATTTAACAAAATATTTAAATTTGTTTAAAATTCAGAAGTTCTTGAAATCATACAAATTTCTGAAACTTCACGACATATTTGGATATATTTCAGTTTTTTGAAACTTCAAAATTGTAAAATTTTATGAACGACAAAATGATGAAGTGGCAGTCATGCAGTGGACATACTTGACATAAATCCGTGAGAGCACTTATAAGTTGCCATCCAAAATGGTCACCACTTAAGGCATTCATACATTTTGGTAGTTTGGGGAAAGATGAAGATGAAACTTCCTTGATGACACCCTCGTGACTCTCCGGATGACACCATTCTCTGAAATAAATGAGCTGGGCATCACGTACTTTTCCTTTTTTTTTTAAATTTAAATCTGGAACTATTGGAAGTCGAAGCAGTGATTGGAATGAAATAAATGGTTAATGACTGGCTATATGTGTACCGATCTGTTCACTTGTGGTGACAGAACGAATTGGACCAACTTACGTGTCCACGTAATCTTGGTAGATTCCCGGTAGACTGAGGCACATCTTACTCTATATTCTGTGACTCAATTAATGTCAAATTCCTTGGAATAATTTTTTTGCTTCGAAAATATAACATAAACTTACATCATTGGTACGTCAATCATCGCATAATTCCAGCGATCGCCTTGCGATGTTCGCATACACATTATCATCAATATTGTTAATGTTTACAATTTTCAAATTATCAACAACACAATTTATTCCACCATACGGAACTTTTGGTGCATTTCCAACACCTGGCTTATTGAACCGTAAGTTAGTTGGATGTGATGTACTTTTTTACTTGAATAATACGTATGAATGTAATTGATGTTTTTATTAAGTAAACAATAGTACGAAAAGGTGCAATATAATATTTCATTTGCTGTTATAGCTAAGCCAAATATTTTACAGCATATTTGGGCCCAGTTGGCGGTTTTGGCATGCCAATAGGTTATGATCCAATGCTGATGCCCAATATGGGTATGAATTTGTTTGGTAATTCATATTTAATGAATCCATATGCATCATTTCCTTTCACGAATAACGGTAACTCTTTCGCTGGTTATGGTATCCCAAAATATAGATCATCGATGTATTCAAGAAAGCGATTTATTCCAGGTATAATATTTGTACCATGTAGAAATTAATCAGGAATTACATTCATTATACAGGTAGAACAGTTGTTGGATTTAATTAAGCATCTTGTTTAAGCTTAACGGTCAGTGGTAAAGCCTGAGTTGGAGAGTAAACAGAGATTGGAGAATTCCAGATTCTTTTATTTTTTGGATTTTAATGACTGTCAATGTTGCCAGTTTGTAGGTTTTGGTTGTTTGAATCGATCTGGTTGTGGTTTTGGTTTTCAGAAGAAGGAATAGAATTCATATTTCAAGTAATTCTTAGATTTAATTTATATTTCATGATTTCCTGCACTGGATATAATAGTAAAAGAGAGGAATAATTTTCTCGTAAATTAACATGACACTTCTTTGGAATGACACTATGACAAATGCATCATTTTGTAATTTCATGCTACTTTGGTGGTTTTAACACATTTAAACTGCCACTTTCCACTTCACATATTTCCGGAGATGGACAATGAGATTAGAAACGTGAACATGAAGAATAAAGTCATTTTTCTTCCAACGAAATAGCCATTGGTTTGTCATGCAGATTATATAAGAAAGTGGACAAATCGATCGATTTAATATTCATGATTGTCATTTTACCATTACGCCATTCGATCCGATTACCAAATTTCTTTCGCTGAAAAGCATTCCTATAACCGTTCATCCACTTGTTCAAATGCGGAAAAACGGAAAGTATTCCGTAAAAAAAAGCAATCAACAAATGCATATCATGAACCAATTTTCACAGTTGCTGTCAGCAAAAAGAATATTTTTGCATGCGATTAAGTAACCGTACGTGACATTTGAGGTATTCGCTGATACGGGGGTAAATAAATAGATCGCTTTTGGGTTCAGAAATTTGTCACATTCTTATTAATCTAAAATTTTCAATATTTCAATCGAATTTTGAAAAAAATAAACGAAATAAGGTAAAAGAATGAATAAGTTTACAAACCGCGAAATTAGTCAATTTGCTATCATTTACAAGTATTTCTGCAGTTTTAATCATTGTAACATCTTTGCCAAAATAAATATCCACCGTGTCACCCAATTTGACCAACATAACAGCTGTTGCACCATTGGTCTCTTGTAGTAATGCCAACAAATTCGCTGATAGCAATAGCATGCAGCCTGTGGACACTATCTTCATTTTATGGTCACTGAAGATAGCCGGAAAACCGAAATAATATTGTGGGATATCTAAAACAGATGGCAAAAGATGACGGTCCAATATGATAATCTGCTCACATCAAACATTTTTCGTTCGTTATTCAGTACATTAACTCCAATAATGATTGATAAAAGACACAATATCAGTTATGAAATTACTCTAACAGCCAAAATTTGCATGAGCTAACTTCAGATAGTTGACTGTACAATGCATGAGAGTACTTTTTGTTGCTATACGAAACTTTTTGGAAAATATTTTTTACATTAATTTTTGCCTGAAATTGTTGTTAATAACAAAATTTTGTTCACTTTATTGCTTCTAGAAAATGGTTGTAAAATAATTAGGAAATGAGTTGATAAGTGGTATTTTTATACAGAAAGAAAAAAAAAAAAGATGCACATTGCAGTAATAATTCTTCAGTCAAAATATGCGAATACCTACCGGTAACCATGTCGAAGAAGCTCGTAGTGACAAATGACTCGAACTTGTCACCAGTTTCACTTCATTTCATTTCAATTCAAAAACACACTCTTTTTAATGTGATTTTTCAAAGTGCGATGTTGTGGAAAACTTTCTTGTCCCTTTTCGTTTTCAAACAATTAGCACTTGAATTACAGTTAAGCAAATTATTCGTGTTTAAAATAATTTTCAATGTCCAATTGGTACAGAGAAAAATGTTTTTTTTTTTAGTTTTAAAAATTAACAGTTAGATTAGCCAACTGTAATTCTATCAGTAGGCTGTTGCTAATACCATATGATTCGAAAATCGAGAAATTTCATAATGCTTTAAGTATACTGCCTTTTAAATGTTGTGAAGATTTTACAAGCTAATGTTCGAGTATGCCGACAGAATCACTATATAAGCTTTAGAACCGGAAGACTAATTCATCTTTTTTACTTGCGAATATCAACATCTTCCTCCCACTGCGTAAACTTTCCAACTTTTACTATCACTACTATTCAATTCAATTACCTGAATTATATTCCAATTTCGGGTTGTCGCTATTATTATATGTCCATTACAAATAAACTTTAACCTGTTCATTTCACAACTAACCTACTTTCACGACACCATATGCCAAGTGACATTAAAAGAGCTGATTTCTAACGATGAATTGCATAAAGAAATAAATCTGTTCAATCTCCCTCGTAATCATTTCTTCGATCTTCTCAAATTCTATTGAATCTTAACCGACTATTATATCTGCAGCTTAAACCGCTAAGGTTATTTTTTATTCCGCAATTACTATGGAAAAAATCAAACATTCATTTTTATTTACAAAATCAAACAAATTTACATCATTACTCGTTGAATGAAGTACAGTTACACATTTTCATATATCGCCATATGTACGTGCAATTCCGTCATCCATTTCAAAATAAAATGGGAAATTTGAAATGACATCAAACTAAATAATCTAATTATCATTTACATGGAAGTTCCCAAAAGTAACATATGTAAATAAGAACAAAGGATGAAAGATTACTCATGAAATTTATCACTAGTAAGATTTAGTTACTTTAAGATTTAATATCACAATTGCAAATCAGAACGGGATATCGCAGTTACCATTACCATCCATTATAAAACTACGAAATATCAGAAACGTCTACTTCACTGCGGAAAGATCACCCAATTTCCACTCAGCAATACTATTTAAGATATAAACTGAAACACTACACAGTGCTAATAAACTGTCGACTGTAAACTCGGTATCTTAAATTTCAATTTTTTCCAAATAGGAATGATTAATGATTAACTCATTCTGCCTAATGAGAACTTTCGCAACGTAAACTATTTGTAACTAAAAATAACGGATCAGAAATATATTAATATTTCTTGAAATCTTATTACTGACATAGAGCCATCAATTTCATCAACAACCGTATTATCAGATCAAGCTGACGAATAGCAAATTTTTCCAAATACATCAGCTCATATTTGTCTACCAACACAACGAAGTAATTATACAATATTAACCACGGAACTGTTTTTGACACATTCGGTTGACACATCCGAAGTAAGAGAAGCGGAGATAAAATCGGAGAAATTTATCTCAGCAAATTAATATCCGAACTACACATTTTGACTAACCGTATAATTTAAAAAGCATTATTCATGTCTAAATATTGTGATTATTTATTGGCATCATTTTCGCACTGTAGTTTCATTTCGTATCTCATCAGTTGCTGCATGAAACCTGGATTTGGACTGACTGAAAATAAAAACAAATTTAAATGCTAATTGCGCGAACATAGAAGAAATCGATTCGGAAATTATCTGAGTTTCATCTGCATTTACATAACACAATTTTTCAATCCAGAACATCAAAACTAAAATTTTCCGAATCAAGCACTTATTTTCAACGACTTTTTAAAACAAAAGTTAACTTTGGACAAAAATAAATCTCTTTCCATGTACCTTTCAAGATTCTTCAGATATTTTAAGATTCGCATGTAAAATTCACTAAATGAAACGACCATTTATACTATCAAAATATGATCATACACCGGACAAACGATTCCAAATCTCAAATACTTTTACACTCACATACTCAAATACACCTGCTTTTAGCATTTGGATAATGAGAAAGATGGGACCATATTACCTTTTCTAATTGCATTAACGTGTTCCAGAGCCTCTCGTAATGTCATTCTGTTATATCGCATTATATATGACAGAACAATGGTGGGTGATCGCGATACGCCAGCATTGCAATGTACAAGAACCTGGAAAATCTTATGACATTGTGAGTGAAGCCAATCACTTATAATTTATTTTGAAACAATAAATTACCACTTTGAAAACTCACTGTTTCACAAAAAACCAAGTTACCAGTTAATGATTTGAAATATTCATGTTGGAACCGATATGTTCCTAAACCTAACAAGATTTATTAAAAAAGAATCCTAATACAAAGTATTCACAATTTCATATTTAAACTGCTATCCAGATCACAATCACAGCGCAATTTAAAGCCATCTTCTGTTCCACATCTTGAAAGAAAATAACTCACATTCCCACCATCTTCTACTGCCTCTTTCATGAACTTATGGCATTTATCAAAATGCTGCTCTATATTACTCCAAGGTAAATCCAATACACTGAATGTAAGATATTTAATTGCACCCAAAAAAATATTCTCCACACCGGTTGCACAGTTGACTATATGAGTGACATTATGCGCCATGAGGATGTCATAATCATGTGCTACATCCTGACTTCCTCCAATGGTATCAATTAATTTATCACTGTAGAAACATGCAATGTTATACTGAAAATTGAGCAGTGAATAATGAAGATGAACAAACGACACTAATATAAATAAGGGAAGGTATCTCAATGAACTTTTTTAATTCCAGTTAGACTGTGCAATGAAAACCAGTCAAAAGTGATAAGAGGGGGTGTAGTAAGGTTCCAGAACCTCCAACCAGGTATAATTGTAATAGTGACTAGAAAACATAGTAAATGATATCGATTATGATCAAATATTGGTGTTAAACTCTTTTATTTGGATGAAAACTGCCGGAAACAATATTCTGAATATTGTACCTACCAAGGTAAATTCCCTTCGCCACATTCGCCATCTGTAGATCAGGTTTTATATCCAACACATAACCCAAAGCCTGCCGATACAATCGGTTTTTTAACTTTCGATTCGACAACGAAATGCGATTTGCAGAACATACTTTCTGTGAATCATTCAAATCACTCTCCTTTTTGAAAGTAATTTCAAACTCTTGCACCTGTTTTTCATCATCATCACCGCCAATTCGACCTTCATCATCTTCATTTACACATACAAATTCGCCTTTATTTGAACGCTTTTCTTTCATAACTGTACCATCTTCCATTGTCACTCTGAAAACAAAGAGATGACATATTGAAAACTACCTGAAACACATGGCAAGATTACCTAAACAGGAATATTTAGGGCTGTTAGGCGCAAACATAATACTGCACAAGGATATTCTGACCTTATTACATATAAAACCGCCTGCCGCCAGCCAGCAAGCGATCGGAATAATTTGTAAGAGAGTGGTTTGATGGTTAAATAGTTTGACGTATTCGATTTTCTTGAAGGTACACATGTTATTGCCATCAAAACGCTTTCATGAGCATTAACGAAATTCAATAATTTCCTTTGTTAAAAAGTATAATGTTTAAGTTACTACTATGGAACCATAAAAAAGAAACGAGAAACTTGCGTAGTTTCAACAGCCTTCAGATCTTCTCGTGCTTTACGTATCTTTTCCAGGATCGACATTTCTTTTGTAAATAATATTTCTTTCCCTTAAGTTTGACAATGACCTGAAAATATAACAATTCCAAACAAAAGATAAATTCTTCGTTCACTTCTCCTCTTTGCGTGTCCGATCAAAATGATCCTTCCATCACTTACCAGACCTACAAAATCCACAATAACAAAACAGCTGCCACAACTATCACGACCGTCTAAACTTGAAGGAACAACTAAATACGGTCCGTGAATCTGAGCTCCCTTTGTTAAAGATAACCCATGACATATACTGGGACGATGGTATAGAATAGGAGTTCGTAGAACGAAGTCTCAACTATTAAATGAAACAGTGAAAGGTCTCGATGTAAATTTCAAGTTAAATTAAAATCTTCAAATGTTACTGCTCTATCGACCATTACATGGTTCTGGTGTTGTGAATGTATCTTCCATTACCACCCAATCATTTCTTCTTCTCTACCTCTCTCCCCAATCTCTTCTTCCTATAACATTTAAACGGATGTTACTCTCAGTACGATGAATCATTACCGATCATTTTATTGGTAAGCTTCAATTTTCTGGAATAGTTTTTGTAAAAAATAACATTGGTCGATTCATTGTTGTCTGTAATGATTACTAAATGACATTAAATTTAAACACTACAGCAATTAATTCCATTCCAGTTTTCAATTTTATATTACAAATTGTCGCAATTTCTTACCTTAAATTTAGATAAAATTTTCTTTTTACCCTAATAAACTAATAAACTTTGCTACTGTTCCTTTTTTTTAATTGTTGTCTTTTTTATTATTTTAACATACAATTTTATAAATTGTTATTAAATGAAAAAAAAGTTATAAATGAGAAAAAAAGCTGGAAAGTGAGAAGAGATGATGAAGGGATATTGTGAAAGAGTGCCAATTTGTAGGAATGGTTAAAAGTGGAACATTAGATTAATTATGATTCGTTCAGGCAAATAGTCGTCGAGATCAAAAAAGTTAAACAAAAAAGTTGAATAAAGGTAGAGGCAGAAATTATTTCATGTCACCATGTCATCGAGGCGACACATTTCCTGCCAACGATCAACTATTATACTGTATTCCATACTTCTATTGTTAAATTAAGTTTTTTAGATTTTCACTCTCTGTTATTCCATCAATATGCATCGAAACAAATATTTACTTTTTAATTTGAAGTTTTGTGAATTTTTAATGCTTCTACTGCTTATTTTGAACTATTATGTGTTTTTAATTCACCACTTATTTTAAATTTTCACGACATTTTAAAGCTTTTATTATTTGCTTTAAACTAAACAAACCAAATATGCACGCGAATATATTTTTACACCGCACCATGTGATACACAAACATCAGCAGTTCATCAAAGTTTAACAAATAATCAGTACTATCTGATTAATAATCAGTACTATCCGATCCGTTACAGTGATTAGTGCCATCTGGCTTCTTTCGAACCATTGTAATTGTTGAAGGTGAACTTCCGGAAGAGTTATTATTTTGCTGATCCACTGATACCGTAACAGATGGGAACTTTCGTCCTATCTTATCTTGAAGTCTTGAAAGTCCTATCTTGAAGAAAAAAAGTTTCAAACGTTCTTCCATCATGTCAGAGTAATTTCATGGAAATAAACTTGTCATACACACGCACACAGACACGCACACCCACACATGCACACGCACACGCAACACATCGTAATGTTTGCATGAATGGAAAAGTTGAGAATTCCCAGTGAGAAAAAAAATTGTTTTCAATTTGAATACCTATAAATTGTTGAAAATAGTCAACAAGAATTTCTCCGACAAGTTCATCCGGTCGTTTTCCGTGAAACTGAATCAATCAATGGGGTATTTGGAATGAGAGATGGATGATTCAATACGGGTGGACAGCTGCGTGACTTATGGGAATGAGAAACTTTTCGCAATCAGCAAAGGAATAACAGATGAAGTTCTGTTGCTCAAGCAAATCAATTTTTTTTTTGTCATCCTCTACTACTATTGCAGAAATCTTACGCCAATAACAAATTTAAAGAATGCGTCATTAACCCATCCGAGCGTTGTTTCCATCATTTTTGACTTTTCTCTATCAAAGAGGAATTGATAAACATCTGATAGTATATGCTAACTTTTTCTCTTTCTTTTACAACTAATAATATCTTTTTTATCTTTTCTCAATTGATAATATCTTCTTTATCTCTTCTCGATTGATAATATTTGGTCATTCAGCATCTTGCAGTTGAAGATGAATTTTCACATTTTTAATTTACAAGTCTTTTTGGTATAAATTTTTTAAGTTTATGAATTTGTTCAAGTCAATCATGTTGATTTTGGACCACAGTTGTGACAGTCGTTATCATATTGTATATTTTTATTAGGTTGTTCCAATTGAAAATTAAGAATTAAGTCAGAATGAGAAATTCAGCTGTCGACTCTTCAATGATTTTTTTTTTTGCTTAACCTTTGATCTTAGTATGTTAGAAAGTTCCAACAACAAGCACTCTTACAATGCGTCTTCTAAATGAAATTTCAACGATTGGGGTAATTGGTCTGATGAGAATTTTTATTAAATGTAATACAATTTTCATATGAATGACATGAAATGCATCAAAAATATTTGCTTCTTTTCCGATTTGAAAAAAAAAAGGGCTCTCATCAGTATGGAAATTTTTCTGTTTGCTTGCACCGCGACATTGTTATTTGCACAAGGCTCGAGTTCAGTTATGAGGCAAAAAGAAAAACTTGGCCAAACGGTAAGATTAGAATTTGGTGATGGTGTAATGGATATTCAAGCCTCAATTCCGAAATCTCATGATGGCCAGGTAGATCGCATGGATATTCTGAAGGACGGAAAGATCACTAAATATGGCGTAAGTTTTACAGTACACGTCATTTCATTGATAATAGCAAAGAGATATGTCTTATCTTCTCTCACTTTCAACCATTCAATATTTTTATAATCTAAAATTCGATTTGTTCTATTCATCCATTTCAAAGCAAAATGATCAGACTTCAAAAACAATTTGTAATAACAGCCATTTCAGCGTGAGAGATACGGTGGTCGACTGTCATTCAGAAATGGTACATTAATAATTAAAGATTTAACTGCAAGTGACACAGTCTCGTACTTCTACTTTTTTCAAGGTGATCCGAAAAAGCCAGCGGCAATTGATCTTATACTCGAATAAAGTATTTTGAGATCACTTTGTCATAAAAAGAATAAAACATTGAATTAATATAAACTGTGTATCTATTGATAACTAACTAAACGTACACACACACATACACGCAATATACGCATACTTCCGTGGTAGCACGTACGGTCCCGATGCGATAGATGATGAATTCTTTTGTAGAAACATGGTAAAAGAAAAACATCAAATCGTTCCTGTTTTCGATCCTATCAGGAATTTTTCCAGAAGAGTTATTTGTTCCCAAATTAATTCATTAATTAACCAACCATTTTAGAAATATTTTAGCAAAAGAAATGCGGTAGTCAGTTGTTGCCGCCAAAAGATAGATTAATTATTATTAATTAGTGTTTGGATCACTGCAAATGATGGGATATTTCACTATAAGTATGATATCGATCTTTTCACCAGAAATTGATTGCAAGAGAGGGAAACGGTAAGATGTGGAGATGGATATCAGACTATTCTTTTGCATTTCTTATTTCAATGCAAAAAGTGTAGGTGGAAGTTAAACTGAAAAGTTTACGTCAAAATGGATTCAATTTAACACGTTGACGCTGCAAATTTTTAACCTGAATACAAACAACACGTTTGTGTTTTTACAGACACTTTATATAGTAAAATGAAACAAGTCTTACGAACACTGCGCAACATTTAGATATATTTACAGTGATACTTGCAAGTACGTGAAAGCACGTGAAAGTACGTGACTGTTCTTGTTGTGACGTGCTTTTGTACTGCCACATGAAGATGCTACCAATAGCGTATTAATCGTCATAAAAATAAAATTCAATCGTTTAGTGGTCGGCTAATACTAAGGTGTTGGTCAAGAAATTCTTTTTTTTTCTTTTTTTTTGCTAATTTAATTCATTCATTTCATCTTGAGCGGTCTGTGATGCCATTAATAGCTTTAATTTCTTTGTTTATATGGCTTTCACGTTTGGATATCTCGACGACTTTGTGGAACCTTTCGGCTATACCGTGGTATTGTGATCAACAATGTTACAGTATGATAAATGAGACACAGATTAGTAGTGCCGGATGTTTGGAACGGTTGGTGACAACAAATACCGTTTTATAAAGTATTATTGTTTCCATCAACTTATTTAAAGAATATATTTCTGATCTTCTACACCACCATATTTTCACTTCTGAAAATGAGTGTAAGGTCAAAGGTCTACTTGTAAAGAATGGAGCCCTCTTCTTCTAAAACGGACTACCTTGTGAAATCCGATAATTACGTTTCAGGAAATTAATGACATAGTCTTACTGTAATTACTGTGAATGGTGATGGTTTGGTATAACGTTTGCTGTAACGAGACTCTTCCAACAAAACATCTGGCCCAATATGTTTTAAAATCTTTTCAATTTCTTACTGAATGAATTCCTATTCTCGAACACTTTAACAATTATCAGTAGGACTATGTTCATCATACAATAATTTGCAAGGAATGATATAATTCATCTTAATTTTTCAAGAACTTTTTCCAGAAATGTCACCACCGAACATATCTTCAAAATGTTTAACATTGATATCACTAAACCGATTTGTTTCAAACGTCCTAAATTTCGACAAAATGTTTGCTTGAAATTAGTGAAAGGGAAATATTTCATTGGTACATGTGACATAAATGTTATTGATCGCAGGATAAGCTGCAGGAAATCAAATGATCGCATGTCATGGTATCGCGGAATGCAGTCCGTCTCTTTTTCGTCAGTTTTCACATATTTAAATTAAAATCGTTTTTGTCATTATTTATAGCACTAATTAACATAATGACTAAGTTTCGGAAATTATTTTAATCAACCGTCAAAGTTTTAATTTAAAAATTTCGTCGTTTTTTTCAGTGGAAAAAGTTGCTTACGTTGGGATGAAGTAAATTCAACTTTTCAATCGACCGATTTCAGTAGTCATTTTGGTCCATCTATAAGATATACTTCAATAGAATTGTCAACTGGAATGCATTCTTTGGAAAATTATTGTCGTAATCCGGATGACTGGCACATGGGGCCATGGTGTTTTGTAATGGTTGGGACTACTTCGAATTTGAATTTTAATATTTCGAAAACTCAAACATATTCTGCCAATTCACAACATAACGAATATATATAATCTAATGCTTGAATTTTTTTATTGCTTAAACTTCTAAGCACTGCAATCAGTTTATACTAATTGAAGAGAAGTCAAAGATCAATCAATCAATCAATCAATTAATCACCCATTTTCCATCATATCGTTTATAGGACATTTCGTGCTTTTAGGGTGAATCTCGAATTCGACGAGAAGCATGTTTCAAGCAGTGTGAGGCATACAATCATCCGGAATTTTGTCTTGCAAAAATGTTTTTTCCATACATGCTGCCATCAATGCCATTATTCAATGGTGCGCCAATCGTTGAAACCAATAGTGAATCTATTAAAGGTGTGCAAGTTGACAAATAAGACTGTGACGATTGGGCGCTTATCAATAAGCATAATTTGTTAAACCTAAAATGTTTTTTTTGCATTTTGATAGCAAGAATTTTATCTTCCTCTTAGATTTTAAATTTATTCCGGATTGAAATTCAGTCCAACGTCGAAATTCACATTTCAATTTCTTCATTTCGAATTGATTGGCGCTAATGTACTTTATTTGAAAAAGTCAGCATTAGGCTGAAGCAGAATTTCATATGGCTCTACATCTTATCAGACTTTGTCATTTATTGATTCCGGAATATTCTAGACCTAAGCGATATCATCGATGTGCTAAATGTCGTACGTATCAACTCTCAAATTAGGCCAATGTTCATCCCAACCTATTTCAACGATTACATCCGAAATTATCCTGGTGATATTTCCACACGTCTTCGTTGCTATCAGACAGGAGTACAAACACGAATCGCTGGTCCGTGGACATATTCAGATGCCGATGATCCATTTCCAGAACAACATTACTGGTAAGTAAACAGTTTTAGAAACTCATTTGGCACTAACAGAAGTGCTGCAAAATTTCATTCAATCTGTCGTGAAATTTTTCTTCGGTGTATAGTCCAATGGATTATTTGTGTTGCGTGGGACCAACTCGTATGAAAAAGGGTTTATTCGTCTCCGCTACATCAAAAACAAAACCAGCAGTAAAATTTGACAAGCTTATATTTATTAGGAAGTGGGTGTGGTTTTTCCTAATTATTCAAACATTTAAAGAGATGTTGATTCGCATACATCGGAATTTGTGAGAATATTGTTATCAGATGTAAATTGGATAGATGAGAAACATGAACACAAAGATGTTAAATTGAATAACTAATGTAAACAATTGAAAAGAAAGGCATTTCCTTTATACAAGGATAAAAACATGGGAATGTG